CGGGCCGGGCCGGGCCGGCGCGCCGCGGGCGGGGGCGGGCCGCCGCCGGACAGCGCCGGTATGCCGGGAAGATGAAGCCGTCGGACCGCGCCGGCGGCTGTAGCCCGCCCCTGCGGAGGCTGACACATGCGGGGCCGGCTGCCGAGCGGTGATCAGCCCGACGGACGTCTGCGTCGGCAGGAGCGCACGTCCGCACGGGTGCCCGGCTGCTGTCAAGGGCGGGGTGAGTCGGTCGGGCTGAGCACACTACAGCTTAGCGTGCCTCAGTATGCGTCATCCGGTTCTGGAGCTTATGCTGATCGGTATCTCGGCGTGTTGCTGCGCGGACGCTGATGCTGACGCCGCATGACGGTGCCCTCAGTCGTGCGCCGCGCGGCGCTCGGACGAGCCCCGCTGTATTCATGACGCCGCCGCCGAGCCCGGTCCGGGCTGTGTCACCTTGGAGACGGCGGGTCGCGCCCCCGCGCTGGTCGGCGGACGGCCGCGGCCTGAGTGTGCCCTGTGACTCTGGCACCGGCGGCAGGTGATGCCGTGTCGGCCGGCTGGGGAGTCCGCTGAAGCCCGTGGCGGCGTTGAACGGAGCAGCTTCGAGTCGAGCCGTCAGTCCTGGTTTAGCCGCTGTTTTCAAAAGCTCAGCTTCGGTGCCCCCGGCCGCGGGAAGGCCTGCGCCACCTGTGAGAGGCGCCGGGGCAGATCCGGCTGACGACTTAGTCCCGCTGCTCTTCTGCACTCTCTGCGGACGTGGACCGTGTCGGCGTGAAGGAAGCGCCCCTGTCTAAACCGCACCTGGTGTCTGCACAGTAGCGCTGGATCAGGCCCGCCGCGTGGCATGCGGATGGGGCGTGTGCAGCGCCTTTGTGGGCGGCCCGGCCGGCTGCCTTACTCTGGGCCGGTTCTGGGGAATTCCACGCCAGCCACTGTCCCTGCACGGTCTGCACACGTCTCCATTGTTTGGCCGGGCTGGATGGCGCTCTACGCAGTGCGGACGGGCCTGGCCAGAGAACAGTCGCGAACGGCTGCCCCTTTGAACGATGGATCTGCGGAAAATGGATAAGCTTGTTTTAGAAAGCCTCGGGACTGGGCATGGCCGGGTCAGGCCTTAATCAAAGTTTTCCGTTTGTCTTTACATCGTGAGATTAAACCTTTTGACATGAGTGAACGGACGGGTGACTTATGAGTGAGGCAGATTGGGAACGGCCAGTGGGCGGGCAAAGCTAAGACCCCCTGGCTAGCTGGCGGATTGGGTGAAGCAAATCTGCCCGGTGAGTGCCTCCAGCGTCGGCGGCGGGTGACGACACGGGTCCAGTCCGCCCGCCGGAGTCCCCTTGCTCTCGTGCCGGGCGGACCGCGCGCCTGACGGGCCAGCTGTGTGCCGCCGGCGCGGCTCCGGAGCGGCCCGCTTGAGCCGCGTGGGGTCTGACACCGCGTCGTCACCAGCTCGGTGCAGCGTGTGCGGAACCGCGCGCCTGACGGGCCAGCTGTGTGTCGCCGGCGCAGCTCCGGAGCGGCCCGCTCGAGCGTCGTCGGGTCTGACACGCGTCGGCACCCAACTCGGTGCAAGCGTGTGCGTCCTCTCGCGGGCCGTCACGGCCCGGCGCCCGTCGGACGCCGACGAGGACGCCGATGAGTCGGCGGGATTGAGCACCGGCGCCCGGCCCACGCCGGATAATTCCACCCAGCATGCGGCCGGCGCTTTTAATCCCAGTTACGGCAATTAATCGCTTCTATTAATATTTGATGGGTGTCGGGGTTAAAACAACGCCGCTTGTCAGTGCCGCTCTCGGCCCGATACGTTATCGTGACTGGCCGTGGCCGCGTGGCGATGTGTTATCGTGAGCAGCCATCGCCGGGCGGCGATTTACACCGGCGTCTCGCAATCTCAGGCGCCGCAGCGTTTTATCGGCTTTGGGCGGTGAAAATCCGGCTAGATGGCGGCATTGTTTGTCCGTGTACGGTGTTGATTGTTTAATGCGGCGCCACCAATCAGCCGAGCGCGGCGCCGGCGGCGGAGCGCGCCGGGGTGCGCCGGGTCGGCCGGGTCAGCCAGAGGTCACGGCCTGGCGCCCCGCCAGCCCGGCTCCGCCGGCTGTCACGTGTCTCGCTCCCCCCCGGCGCCTCTCGGCAGGCCGGTGCCGGCTGGCGGCCGGGGCCCGGCGCGCTGCGAAACCGGTGCGTGGACACAGGGTGGCGTGTTGCCTTCGGCTGCGTAGTGCATATCGTTGAACGGAGTAGCCAAGGTAGGTGTCAGTTACGGGGATTCGTTGCGGTAATGAATCAATGATTGGATGAGGTAAGACGTGCAGAGCGACGAGCTGTGTGGCTTCCTTGACCACAAGATTGAGTGATCCCTGAATCGCGTCGCTGCTCAGTGCTCTCTCTGTTGCTCACTCTGCGCCACTATTTCGGTGTAGCGTTGTCTCCTAAGGTAATTTCGCTTGCTGTGTTTTTTTCTTAATGCATCTTATAAGCTGCGGCTGCAACACATGATATTTAACACACTTTTGGTCTTAGGGATCACAACCCGACAATGCAGTTTGCGACACAGCTGTCTTGTCCTCACGGCCGTCTAAAGTATTCTTGGCTGCTATTTACAACCCAATGATGATTTGAATGTGACGTTCACGGTCAGACCATGGGCCAGGTCTTTGACCTGTGTTTTTTGTCCATCATCTCTTCTGACAGTTTGTTTGCATTACAAACCTTATCAACAACCCGACCGCTTGGCAATCTTCTGGAAGGTACCGAAGTCCATGACAAGCCGCCGTTTGGTGGGCTCGCCGCCGTTTACAAACAGCAGACGTATTAAAGCCACCCAATCAACGCCTTTTTATCGTGTGAGCAATGGCCTCCATGATTGAGACAGCGGGAGCGGCTCCCGCGCTGGTCGGCCACGCGGCTCTGCCCGCCCTGATTGAGACGGCGGCCGGTCCGCCCTGGAGCGGCCCCTGACCGGCGGCCGGTCCGCCCTGGAGCGGCCCCTGGCCGGCGGCCGGTCTGCCCTGGAGCGGCCCCTGGACCGGCGGCCGGTCCGCCCTGGAGCGGCGCCTGACCGGCGGCCGGCCCGCCCGGGCGTCGCCTGTGCCGCCGGGCGACGGGCCCGTGCGCCGGTGGGCCGAATGGGGTCCGGACCGGGACGGCGGGCCGGCTGGCGCGCCGACACACCCGGAGGGCAGGAGTGCCCCCCCCCCCCCCCGTTTCGTGTGCGACCGACCGTCCTGAACTCAGCCGACTGCTTTAAGCTTGGGTCAAGAGCTTGTGTAAGGGATGCCCCACCGATCAGTCCAGTCTGTGGCAGCGCTTATGGACGATTGACGATGCGTGCGGTCTTGGCATGGCACGCGCACACGGGACACGCACGCATCACACTTGTACTCATGGGGGATTGGTACGCTGCCTACTTGTATGTCGCCCGCCCGTAGTGGTTAGCTGCGTGCTAAAATATGCAGACAGGCGTGACTTAGAGCAACCAGGAGTACTCTGTTTTCCCCGTCCAGTTCCATTTCACTGAGTATTGAACATCAGTGGGCTAGATGTGGCCGCTGACGGATCTTGGACCCGTTTGGGGCACGACCGAGCAGTGTTTGACTCGACCCAGGTTCCAGGGGCGCACTATAGCCCTCAAGTCGACACACCCTTGTCCATTTGTACTCAATAGTCTTGAAACCGTTGCCAGCAAGCGGGTTTGAAATCACTGGCATGAAATTGGGGGAAGGGGGGGGGGGCGGTGGCTGGTGTGACCTGCGCATTAAGACAGTATTTCCCCATTTCAATTTGTATTGGAAGGCCTTTTACCTAACTGGTCAGAACATTTCCTATGGTTACTGAGCCTCCATTTGTCCTCTCCGCTGTGCAGCTCGCCTTTGTTCTAAATTCTTGATTTTAGTGGCAGTTAATCTCTGACCGCTGTATGATTTTCATTGTCTTGCTGGGGCTCTTTCGATGGCCGGAGTGAAAACACAATGGGCACTTCGTTTTCTCCCGGGCTTTTTGTGAGCAGCTCCCTGGAGATGGGGACACCATGTTCCGTAAGACGCTAATTATTTGGAGACAAAGCCTGGGCTCGGGGTAAATCGTTTCTTCGCCCTGTGTGGTCGCGTGCTTGGAGGTGCGCTGTGTTGATGACGAGCGACGGAACGGTGTAAAGTACAGTTCAGTTTCGAACAGTAGCAATCGCCGGGCTTAGATCCCAAGCGAAGACTTTTATCATCGTAGCGATGTTCTTGAACGGAATCTCACTTCGTTTTATACAAAGTTTCATGTATAAATCACACAGAAAGCAGTCGTCACAATCCGTGCAGCTGTCAATCCTTGGCTGTCTGTGAAATCGATTATTCCCCTACATTTGGCTACTGGATACCCGTCCTTGTTTTGTCCGCTGTCCCTGATGACCACGCGCCACTGATGTTGACCATACCGGTCGATGGGCTCCTCGCAGCCCCGGCTCGTGGCTGCCGAGTGACCGTCTGACGGACCGGCGGCCGATTGGCTGCTCTGGGTGGCCGGCCCGGCAGGAGAGACGGCCGGCTCGTTTTTGTGCCGCCGCCGCGCGGCTGACGGACAGGTGAATGGCGCTGCGCGGCGATGGCCAGGTGGTTCGCCGCTTCATTAGCGCTCGGACGGGAAAACAGCACGGCCGGGCGGCCACGGCGCCCTGCCGGCCTCGCTCCGAGCCGACGCGGGGCGCCGCTCTGGCCGTGGCCGCCGCCGCAGACGGGCGGGGCCGGCCGGAGCTCGGCACGCGACGCTGATCGTCGTCCCGCACACTGCCTGCAGCTGGTCACGCCCGACCGCGGCCGTTGAGCTCGCGCCGGGCCGTGCCGCTCGCCCGCTCCGTGGCGCGGTGGCCGCTTCCACAGCTCTCCGGGCGTCTCACTCGTCAAAGGCGCCACACGGAGGAGAGGTGCCCGGAACCCGCCCCGACGCACAGCGCCCCCAGCCGACGCCGGCCGTGGTACCGCTGGCCCCGGTTGTCTGCTAACCCGCGCCCTCTCCGCCGCCAGCCGAACGACTCATGGGTGACGGTGCACTCGCTCAAGTCGGCGGACGGCGGTCTGCTGGACCCGGACGACCGGTTGAGCGACGTGGCCGACGACCGCGAGCAGATCGTGGCCGTGTACGAGGAGCGCGACGGCCGCGCCTCGCAGCACGGCGACGGCACGTCCGCCAGCTCGGACGGCACGCGCAGCCCCGTCCAGGTGAGTTGGCGGCGCGCCCAGCCGCCGCCGGCAGCGGGCAGCGGCGGCCGCTGCGAGCGCAGCGCCGCTGTAGCTCCTGATCCTGGTGACCGTCACCAGTGGGCGGGGGGGGGGGGGTGCCGGCGGGAGGACATGGGGCTGGCGAGTAGGACGGCACTTGCGTTGTGTTGCCCTGAGTTCGGGCTTTGTGCCGGCGGTCCGGTTCTTCATCAAGGGGTAGATGTTCGATTGACTATTGCGGTATCAGCCATGGTGGAAAGGAGACGGGTGGACTGAATGCGGCATAGTGTCTACCGGTGCAGGTCCACCCATGAATACTCCGCTATGAAGGGGGCCCCCAAGCCTGAGCCTGACATGCGTTCGTCAAGCCTGTTGATGAGGCGCGTTGTCTATGCATTGATGTATGTCGTTACCGCTTAGTAGTTTGGGCAGGGTGCTGACTTGCAAGACTGGATTTTTTCGAGCCTTGCCTCTGAAAAGTATGAGGGAAAATACTGTCTTCGCAAAATACCAAGCGCACGGAAGTTTTTTTGGCAGTCACAAAAGACGCTGCGCACTGCAAGGCCCCAACTAGCAGCGACGGGCCAGTTCTGAAGGTCAGACGTCGAGCATACGTTGTGCTGTGGCGACAGGGAGCATCGCACATGTCGTGCCAAGGCTCTCTTGGGCAGGAAAGTGCCGGCCGTTGGCCACCAAAAATGACAACTGTATTTAGAATGCGTGTCTTTTTCCGCAAAATAATGGTTGTCATACTCAATTTAGAAGTGCACAGGAAATTGTCCTAACCGGTGGGCCTGTTTTGGCGGATGGGCGACGTGATTGTAACACAAAGGTTGATTTTATAAGTTTGTGTACTGCCGAGCAGCCTTGAGGATCGTCATGCTTCTGAGCTCCTTTTTCTCCGCGCACGTGCCAGCATATGGTACAGCTGACGCCTGAGCCGCCCGAGTGAACATCAGCCCTTGTTGCTCCAAGATAAGATTAATTTTAGGACAATATTGTTCTAAACCGGTCGGCTTTCTTCGACCGACTGTTGCCTTGAAGCGCATTGTTCTTAGATATGAGAACCACTGGTTGGTTTGTGTTGAGGATTTTCATTGTAGAAGCATTTTCACTGACCACATTCCAGACGTGCTGAGACAGGAGTGCTATGGGCAGATAGTGAGAAATCTCACCGAGTCTCGAAATCGCATCCGTTCTGGCACTGAAGCGCGAGGACAAACACGGGCCCCTCACTGCGTGACTCTGAAATGTCTTCAGTGGGCTTGCATGTCGGGGGCATCGATTAAAGGCATTGGTAGATAGCATATGTAAGCATACCGCGGTGCCGCTGTCATGTGCATTATGGCGGACATGAGAACTGATTTAGTTGGAATTGGGAATTTATGAAGCGGAACTATACCAACCGTTGTGTCAAACTCTCCTGAATTGTTTGCGATCCAGTACGGCTGGCGCCCGGTGCCCAGTGGCCGAGGTCGGGCGCCCTGGCCGGCCGGCGGTCCGTTCGACCCGCGGCGGGCCGTTGAGGCCGGACGCCGGCCGGCGCCGCCCCACTGGCGCCGGCCGTTGCAACGGTCGTTCCGCCCCGTGCCCTGCACCGGCCGCCGCACGTGCCGGCCGGCCGGCCGAGCCGGGTCGAGCAGAGCAGAGCAGAGCCGAGCCGGGCCGGGCCGGGCCGGTGCCGTACCACCGGCCCAATGACGTCACGGGCCGCGCCGGCGCCGGTGACGGCGGATCAGCCGCCGCCGCATCGCTCGGCGTCATCATACTCACGTGACACGTGTTCAAGGTCAGGTGGCCGCGGCGCTGTGGGAGCGGTGTCGGCCGATCAGGTGCGCGTGCTGCGGAGGGTACGGGACGGGGACGGCGGGCTCGGCGGCCAGGTATGCCCGGTCATGGTACACACGCGGCTGGCCGTGTTCAAGTATTGAACTTTTTGTGAATGCATCGGACACCGAAAGTCTCAATATTGTAGGATTCGTGCCGCTGGCCGCGGCGGCGTTAGCGACCTAGTGCTGGCAGCCTTCGGGCTCAGAGCTGGTTGACGCCAATCTTTTCTGCGCCTCTCCTCGGTGGTTGCGCGTTGGGCGGAGTCGGCGGACCGTGGCGCTGGTCCGGTCCGGGTGTGCCGTCCCGTCTCCAGCTGACCTGCCTGGGGCCGGTGCAGCGGACACCGTCGCGGCACCCGGCGCTGGACACGGCAGCCGGCTGTGAGTGACGCGCCACTGACGGCCAGTGGTAGGCGCGCGCCGCCGCCGACACGGTGTCGGGAGCGGCCGGGGGTGCGGCCGGCTTCCCTGATAGCCGTGTGAGGCGGCGGCCGTTCTCGGCTGGCCAGCGATCCCCGGCTGCTGTAGCGCGGCGGCGTCCGGTCCGGGGCGCGGGGCCGGCGCTGCGGCGGCGGACGGCGCCGTCGGACCGCCGAGCCGTGACGCGACCCAGGGGTTCGCCGCTCTCAGTCTTAGCACCGCGGCCGGCCGGGCTCCGGACCGTCCCCGGGGAGACTGCTCCGCCGTTGACCGGCCGCTGGACAGACCATAACTGGTGCTGGAGAGGCTGGCGGCCGCGGCTTGAGTCTCGGGCAGACGTGAGCTCCTCTGAGGCACGCCCGCCGCCCCTGACCGGCCGAGAACGGCGCCCGCGCCCTGGCAGCCCCACAGAAGCGCTCGCGGCCGTGTGATGGACAGGTGACCCGCTTCTGTGGTTTGCTGTCTGCCAGACTGCCTTTGTAGAGAGCTGCTCGCCTCTGCCTGCCACTGTCGGCTGACTCGTCGCTCGTGAGTCTACGCTGCACGGCTCGTGCTCGCCAGCTGATTGGGTCGTGACGACCGTCCGCTCCCGTGGCACGGCTTCCGCGCTGGGCGGCACCACGGACCGGTCGGGTGCCACCAGCCCGAGCAGCGCGGCTGCGGCTGACCGCGCCAGCCTCCCACCAGCCAGAGCAGCGCGTCTGCGGCTGACTGCGCCAGCCTCCCACCAGCCCGAGCAGCGGGGCTGCGGTAGCCACCTACCAGCCCGAGCAGCGGGGCTGCGGTAGCCACCTACCAGCCCGAGTAGCATGGCTGCGGCTGACTGCGCCAGCCCGAGCAGCGGGGCTGCGGTAGCCACCTACCAGCCTGAGCGGCAGGGCTGCGGTAGCCACCCACCAGCCCGAGCAGCAGGGCTGCGGTAGCCACCCACCAGCCCGAGCATCGGGGCTGCGGTAGGCACCCACCAGCCTGAGCGGCAGGGCTGCGGTAGCCACCCACCAGCCCGAGCAGCAGGGCTGCGGTAGCCACCCACCAGCCTGAGCGGCAGGGCTGCGGTAGCCACCCACCAGCCCGAGCATCGGGGCTGCGGTAGGCACCCACCAGCCCGAACAGCACGGCTGCGACTGGCTGCGGTAGCCACCCACCAGCCCGAGCAGCAGGGCTGCGGTAGCCACCCACCAGCCCGAGAGGCGGGGCTGCGGTAGGCACCCACCAGCCCGAGCAGCAGGGCTGCGGTAGGCACCCACCAGCCCGAGCAGCACGGCTGCGGCTGGCTGCGATAGGCACCCACCAGCCTGAGCGGCAGGGCTGCGGTAGCCACTCATTAGCCCGAGCAGCAGGGCTGCGGTAGCCTCCCACCAGCCCGAGCAGCACGGCTGCGGCTGGCTGCGGTAGCCTACGACCGTGAGCAGTCCAGGACGCGGTGGGCAGCACCTGTAGCAAAGAACGATTTTTTCGATGCCGTTCTGAGGGCCATGAGCGTGAAAGTGAACATTCCGCCGGGAGAAGCCAGCTGCAGCGCCTCACGACTGACCTGTTACGAGGCCGTCTGTGATGACACCGCGACGTCTGCGGCCAGCGGATGGTGTGAAAACGACTTGCAAAGAACGGGAAGCACTCCGCAATGCGAAATTGGATAGACTGCTGTTCGACCGTGCACCGACACGGCGGTGGCGGCGGCGGCGGCGCTAAAGCCGCGCTGACCGCCGCGTCCGGCCTGGTGTGGGAGGCGTGACGGTCCGTGTCGAGTCGCGAGCTGAGGCGGCGGCTGGCCATGAGCGTCAGCGACAAGCTCCAGCTCCGACTCTGGCTCTGACTCTGGTTCTGGCTCCGACTCCGGCTCTTACTCCGGTCCCAACTCCGGCCTCTGCTCCCGTTCCGGCTCAAGCTCTGGCTCCGGCTCCGGCTCTGGCTCTGGCTCTGGCTCTGACTCCGGCTGTGACTGGCTCTGACTCCGGCCGTAACTCTGGCCTCTGCTCCGGCTCCGAGTCTAGCTCCGGCTCCGGCTCCGACCGGGCGGAAGCGGACCAGACGTGGGTCTGGCGGTAGGGTCGGCTACATGTGGCGCCAGCTGCTTCCCGGATAAATGGGCGGATGTGACAAAGACTACCCTGGTGGAAAAGGGGCTATTCTTGTGGTTGCGCGGACGGACACGCCTTCAGCCGTTGCGGGTCCCAACTGTTCCGCCGTCGCGGCTCCATTATACCCCTGATAACCGGCATAACGCTGACGTATTGATCCGGCCAGGATGCATTTTCTCCCCCCCCCCCCCCCCCGCCACGTAGAGGATGGCGGGTTTCTGTTTTGGGTCTGTCCGGAGTGCGACCATTTACAGCGGTGTTGTCTTGTATGATGTTGTGCCTCCATGTGGTCGTCCATTTCGTAATGGGCTGCCACGACTGTGGCTGCGGCAGGATGCGAGAAAAATACGAATTCTGAATGGTTGTGCAGTCGAAAAAGATGATTGCATCACCAGTCTTCGATGTCGATATATCTAGACTGTCCAACAGGTAATGAAAACATTGGCACGATAATGCGCTTGCAATGCAGCTTGCAATGGCTTTGGAGGAGAAGTGCACCTCTCGACATGACCTCGGTCTCGACAGACATGCCGACGGCAGCAGTGCTCCTGCTGTGCGGACTGCGGCTGGCGAGGTCGCTCCATGTATGGGTAGGTCGACCAGTTGCGGTCCCGTTGGTGACTTCATACGACTCCCGTGCACCTGCGAAAATCCCGACTGTTGTGCAGGG